GTTATCTTCTTATGTACGTATAGAGTGTTAGTTAAGTAGAGGCGTGATATTAAGTAAAAAAAGGAGGAACGACATGATTTTCAAATTGTAAATCCAGTATTTTTTTATTAAAAAATTACATGATCTCGTTAAGCAAGTATCCTTTGGGCTTTCTCCGTCATCTCTTCTCCGATTAACCCCAGTATTCATCTCTTCTTCTCACAGATCTGGTTCCTCACCGTTTATTGATACATTCCACATCTGTCGAGTTTTCCATTTGTGGAAGAATTTGTTTTCCCGTGAGGTGTAGGTCTTTATTCAAATATGAGTGAAAAGTAAGTAAAGATGCTTTTATATTTAGGATAATAATATACATTTGCCATTCCCAGGAGTTTCAATGTCCTCTGATGTTGAGAAATTGCTACCCAACCTAAGAACGATGCATCTGTTTCAGTAGCAAAAATGGTAATTTTCTGATCAAGAATCACTCCAATGCTCTTTTGTTGGCTTAGTACAGTTGCCCACCAGTTGAAGTCGGTGATCACTTCTGCTTTTAATGCACTGTCTTCAGCAGAGGTTTCCGTATCATCCAAAGCAGAGTGAAGCTGACAGTTCGTGGATTGTTCTAGATGAATACTTTTGCCTTCAGGCCATGGGCTTCACGCCGCTGTAACCATTGTAAAAGGCGCCATTTGACAGATGGTACAGATATGGTAATATGGTGGTTGACATCAGCAATGCACAAAGATTAGGGATTTAACAAACAGGTACAGGTGAACATTATCATTCATGATAATGAATCCTTGTTTTCTCAATTACTAGCACAATTACCGTATTTGGAACAATTGTAAACGCTCTGGGAGGGGAGGCGGAGCCACTGAAAAGTGTGGCTATACGGTAAAAACTATGGTAAAAACTGATTGGTTAACATAACCATAAAAATTGGTTACCTCAAATGCATTTAACCTTGTTCACCAATATTTTTATGGTTATTTTAACCAATCAGTTTCTACAGTGTACTGTAAGTTTTATATTTCAATGCTTAACATAAAGCCTGTAGAGAATAGAAAAATAGGCATGTCGAAGGTCATTTTTCATTATAAATTCGTTAGATTTCAACGTCAAACAACGAAACTGCACTACATGCACTACAATTTGAGTTTCTTTAGTAGGACTATAGGCATTCAAGGCCAGTCTCAAGTTTATTGTGTTTGCACAGGCTTATGCAAACCAAAACGACCTTTGCAGTGGCGTGGTGGCAGGGGGGGCCAGGGGGGCCAGTCCCCCTAGCTGTTGATTTTGGGGGGCGCTGAATGAATACGAGTCATCAAGTTTTAAAAATTGGCTATAAAAAATTAAAAACGCATTTGAAACAGAACAGTTATTTTCGCAGTTATATATTCAGTGAATGAAGTTAACTTTAGGGAATTAGGGAAGAAAGGAAGTGAAACCTTGTAAGGCGGTCGATTGAAGAATAAGATATTGACGAGCATTCATAATTAGATGTTTCGTTTGTGGCCACAACGCCTGCATGATTTGTCACATTTGGGGGGGGGGGTGAATATTCATATATTCAGCTTTGCCCCGTTGATTTCTATTGAATTTAACATCGCCAACAAAAGAAATCAACAGCAAGGCAGAGCTGAATATATGAATATTTACACCACCACCCAATTAGCATTCTAGTTTCGCCTATGCATACACGGCCAAATTGTCCTCTTAAGGGACGCAACAAGGCCTAAAATGTGTAATTTTTTGCCTAACTTAATCAATGTTTTTTGCTTCTCTCACAGACTGTAATCGTTACTGGCATTGTATCTTATTATTAATCTGGGCGTAATAATATATTTTTTAAAAATGACAGTAGTGCAGTCATCGGTAAATTGCTATCATAATGCATAGTCTAACATGAAGTAGCCCTTAATGATACCGCAGCATGTACTGCATTATTTGTATTGTGTTATTTACATTTTCATCGTTACGATGAATTTGTCATTTTCAGTAGTAAAGCAAGTTATTATACGGTAAAACTTTTTCAAATCACTTAAAGCTTCTTCGTAAATGTTCAAGATTCATTTATCCGCAGTTATCGAATGTGCATAACAGCATATATTTAATTGAAATTAAGATATTTTTTAAACAACAACATTTGAAGACCAATTAAATTAATGTCTCAAAATGCAAAACTCTCATTTTGAGCAGATGTAATACAGATGTAATTCACACAACAAACATTTCATTTGATAATTCCATTTGTGTTGGCAAGTGTATTTTAATATTATTTAATGTACATCATGGATCATGGTGCAATGTTAAAGACTAACTGCAATGTCTAATTCTTTCAACACCACGAAGAAAAAAAAGTCAGGTGCTGAATATCGAAGATTAAAGAAAGCTAGACAAGAAGAATTTTCAAAACTTGGGGACTTTTGCTTGATTACTTTAAACCTATACAAAATGACCCACCATGCATTTTGTCACAAACAACAGAGGAGTTAGAATTAAAACTCAGGGAAACGCCGAGCATTAGTGAAGACCTTAAACAAGTGCATGCGCAAGAAAAATCTGAGTCGACAGATGTAAACGATCAAGATGAGCATACTTTCAAATCAATCAAAAGCAATGATCCTGTTGGTGAATGCGCTGATATTGACAGCTTTGTCAATTCAAATGAACGTAAGGAAGGCGAAGGCATCTCAGAATCTGCTGAAAATGAATTGAATCGAAATATTTGTATTGATACGAAGGAAAACACGTTTGACCCTGGGACAGTTGTTGATCTTTATCTCAGCATTAGCGAAAAAGGGCGTTTACTTAAAATGAATCCATGCCAACCATCCCAGTTTGTTTTGAAACAAAGGAGGATAGTACAAGGAGATTGCACTTGCTATTGCTCCCAGCAGGTTTTTTTCCACGATGATGGAACAAGACGAAAATGGATTTCCTCTATTCACTAAGTGAAGACAGCTTGTTTTGCATACCATTCATTCTGTTTACAGATGTAACGTCTAGGGGAGAAAATATTCGGTCAAATCAAGGAAAAGCTTTTGCAAACATTGGTTTCTCCAAATGGAAAAAGCAGTATATTAGAATTCTGGAGCATGAAAAATGCAATTCTCATCTAAACGCAAAAGTTGCAGAAGCTCTTTTCCTTCAAGAAAACTCAATATCGGATCAGTTTCATCACCCGGGGAAAATCGAGTCTGAAAGACGTAAAAAGGAAGTTGTTTTAAACAAAACAGTTTTGAAACGTGTGATAGATGTTATTATGTTTCTTGGAAGACAAGGGCTTTCCTTTAGTGGTCACTGTGAATCACTGACAAATTTCTATGTTAATACAGGAAACTTTTTGGAAACGCTTAAATTATTGTCAGAGTACGATCAACCAATCAATGAGCATCTTGAGAAAGTTCGTGATCACCAAGTGAAGCAATCGACAAAGGATGGTGGTAAAACTGATGAAAAAGGAATCAAAGGACGTGGCTCATGGCTAACGTTTTTGAGCAACGATATTCAAAATAAGTTAATCAATATCATTGGTAAAGAAATATCTTCTGTAATTGTACAAAAAATACGCAACTGCAAAGCATGGGCATTGATTGCTGATGCAACACCCGATATAACTCATACAGAGCAATTGAGTATATGCGTAAGGCTTGTTAATGAAACTGGCGAGTGTTCTGAACACGTTTTGTCATGCCAAAAAGCAATTGGAACAACTGCACATGACCTTTACACTGCTATTACAACAATATTACAATTGCATGGAGTTTCATTTGAAAAACTTGTTGCCCAAACGTATGAGGGGAGCATCCACTATGAGCGGATGTTATAATGGTTTGCAGGCAATTATAAAAGAGAAAATCGGAAACCACATCATCTTTGTTCACTGCTATGCGCATACGCTAAATCTCGTCTTATCCGATTCAGCTTGTGTTGCTATTGATGTCATTACTCTTTTTGACTCTCTCGAAAAACTGCACGTTCTCTTTAATAATTTTCATAAAGTACACGAATTGTTTCAATTGGTTCAAAAGAATGAAAACTTCAAAATTTTTTCGATTAAACGTCTTAATACAGTTCGACGGAATGCAAGAGAATTTTGTCTAAACGTATTTCTTTTGAGGTTCGAGTGCATCATGTGAGTGCTCCAAAAAGTAGCTGAGGAAAGATCGTTCACTGAAAGTCAGCGAGCAACAGCAAATGGATTGCAAGCAGCTTTTCAGACAAAGCAATTTGTTGCGACTGCCTGTCTTTTCAAGAAATTTTGGAATTACTGGACCTTTAAGTCGATATCTACAGAGCGTAAATGCTGACTTTGGAAAAGCAATGGATATGGTTGATAGCTCAACTAGAATTCAAATCATACGTGACAAACCAGAAAAATCATTGAAATGTTCGATTCTTTTGCGTTAGATGTCGAATGGAGGTCTACACGACCTCGTCGTCGACAACCAATGGACGGAGAACAAGCCAGAGATGATTTGGCAGATTCACCAAAAGCACAATGGAGGCGAGACACATTTTATAAAGTGCTAGATTCCATTCAATCTTCAATGAAGAATCGTTTTGAAAAGAATCGACCACTAATGATATCATTTGCTTTATTCGCACCCAATCAATTTGACGAGCTCTCGAGCTAGTACAAGACATCTCACGATCTTCAATCTGCAGTGAAAGCCTTTTGTGATGTGTATAAGATAGATTCCCAAAGATGCGCTACTGAACTTTTAAGCTTTGCAGAAACATTTAAAAAATTTCACTGTTCTCAGTTTATAACTCAAAGTGACCATGATCATAATGAGCAGAACTTTGAAACTATTGATGATGGTGATGGTGATGATGATGACGAAAATCATTCTGATACTGACATAAGTAAGCATTCGAATAATGCGTCAATTACCGAGAATGTCCTCCGTCATTCTTAGATGCCTTGAAGCTGCTTTGTTTTCCAAAGTACCATTTAGTCGACGCATACCCAACATTATGCAAAGTTTATTCAATTGCAGTGGCCATACCCATTAGCTCAGCAACTGCTGAACGTTCTTTTTCTTCGCTGAAGAGAGTAAAACGACGATTCGATCTACGATGGTACAGGAGCCTGGAATCATTGCTTTTAATGGAAGTTGAAAGGGAAACTCTCCTTTCTATCGACAAAGATAGAATCATAACTTTACTTGGGAAAACCTCCCCAACGCTTGCAAAGGCATTAATCTAAATATATTTTTCTATGAAAAACAAATAACGTAACAGACATATAATTGCTTGATAATACTTGGTTTTTAAGTTACTTTCCTTTTTATGAAGATTCATGTTTGTGTTTTATAAAATAAAAATAACTGAAATACTTGAAAATAGCTATAAGAAAAGGTGAAAGGGCGCAAAATTTGTGTTGGCCACCGCAGTAAAACTATGCCACCACGCCACTGGACCTTTGCCAGAACTCAAAAGCGGATCAGTGCAAGCCCGAGGCCGAAAGTTGCACCTGCTCGAGAGTTCTCATAAATAGTGACGTAACCAGCCCGCAATAGTCGTGCTATGTAAATTTTTGATCATTACCATTATTTATTTCTTTAGAAATCTACTGTTTCTACAGTGAGTGAAAACAGAAAAATTAACGTAGGACGAACAAACTTGTGGGCTGGCTACGCCACTGCTCATAATAGTCTCCAAGGCTTGCATAAGCTTGTACAAACACGAAAAATATCTTTTATTTCTTTTATAAAATAACAATAATGCAAAACAAACAAATTTAAAACGGAATTTTTTATTTTGTCCTATAAAATATATTCATGATTGATTTAAAAATTCTCTTTGAGTAATTGATTTTTTTGGTTGAGCTCAGAGCTCACAGGCTAATGCAAACACGGCTATAGACCAATCACCGCACGCCTTTTATTGTGTTTATTTTAAAGTTCCAAATACTTACAACATTTTCAATTGGTTTATCAATAAGAAAACGGCAGAATTAATGTCACACACAATGGAAATAAGAATCGGATTCTATGAAGTCTTTCAGAAGAAGTCTGTGACTGCGAGTCAATTTACATTATAGTTGAAAGATAAAGGTATTGCGAACTTTCTGTTAGCTAAAATGTCGATTCACAGGCATTAGTGAATACATTCTTAAAAAAAAGTCAGTACCTCGAGACAAACCTAAGATTGTTGAAAATAGAAACACTATGATCCCAATATTTTCAATCTTTTCTATTTTCTTAATACATCCAACCATAACATGGGAGGAACAATTATGGAACCAAGTAAATGGTTTGAACCCGGGAGTATCGTTATATGTTTGTAAATGATGATCGTCCAGGTTAATAAAGTCCTGAGAAGGACTGTTTTTGATGTTGTTGACTGACGTTTCGACAACCTTAGCGGTAGTCATCTTCAGAGTCAAATGAGGAGTAAACGTCAGGTTAGCCGTATTTATTGTCTGGTTCTAGGTCATTGTATTGTTGTACAGAAATGTGCAGGAAATGTGTATTGTCATTGTGGATTAGTGTGAAGTGAAATATTTTATTTTTAGTTGTGATGTGTGATTTAGGTGTGACGTTTTTAGTTGTAATGTGTGGTGTCAATTGTGTATTGTCATTGTGAATTAGTTTGAAGTGTAATGTTTTAGTTGATCGTTTTTGTATTGTGAATAAGTCGTTTGTAAGGTGCCGGTAATTGCTGTGATCTGTTCAGGGGTTTGTTCCAAGTTGGTATACCAACTTTCTAATGTAAGCCGTTGTCTATAGTCAGTACTGTAAGTGATCCATTTGCCGAGTCCCAGTCAATGTTGTGCTTTGTGATTCGGTGATGTTCGGCAATGTGATTAGTTTTGTCTTGTTTCTTAGTAGCTCGTTTGTGCTCAGTAAGTCTTATGTTTAAGTTCCTGCCAGTTTCCCCGATATAGGAGGCGTGGCAGTCGGAGCAGTTTATTTTGTAAACTGCACCTTGTCGTTCGTTGGGTTGTTCTTTGTCCTTTATGTTCGTTAGTACTTGTCGTAATGTTGTGATTGGTTTATGTGCGACACGTATGTTGTATGGTCGTAAGATACGCGAGATAGTCTCAGACGTACCTTTGATGTAAGGTATCGTTGCTGTTGTCACTGAGTTGTTCGTTTCGTTGGGTTCGTTGGGTTTGTAAGTGTTGCGTTTGATAAAGTCAAGTTATAGTTGTTTTGTCAAAAACACGTTTGAGATAGTTGTTTTCGTTTTGTAGAGCGTCCGGTGAATCACATATGATTTGTGCACGTCTTGTTAATGTTCTGATTGTGGTGGCTTTGTGTGATGTAGGGTTGTAAGATGATTGGTCTAGTAGTCGGTCAGTATGTGTTGGCTTGCGATGAACTGTTGTTCCTAGTTTTTGATTGTCATGTTTTACCAAACAGTCGAGAAAAGGAAGAGTTCCGTTTTCTTCGACATCTTTGGTAAATTGTATGTGGCTGTTCTGTTTGTTGATGTGAGTATGGAAGTCATCATCCGACTGCCACGCCTCCTATATCGGGGAAACTGGCAGGAACTTAAACATAAGACTTACTGAGCACAAACGAGCTACTAAGAAACAAGACAAAACTAATCACATTGCCGAACATCACCGAATCACAAAGCACAACATTGACTGGGACTCGGCAAAATGCATCATTTACAGTACTGACTATAGACAACGGCTTACATTAGAAAGTTGGTATACCAACTTGGAACAAACCCCCCTGAACAGATCACAGCAATTACCGGCACCTTACAAACGACTTATTCACAATACAAAAAAACGATCAACTAAAAACATTACACTTCAAACTAATTCACAATGACAATACACAATTGACACCCACACATTACAACTAAAAACGTCACACCTAAATCACACATCACAACTAAAAATAAAATATTTCACTTCACACTAATCCACAATGACAATACACATTTCCTGCACATTTCCTGTACACACAATACAATGACCTAAGAACCAGACAATAAATACGGCTAACCTGACGTTTACTCCTCATTTGACTCTGAAGATGACTACCGCTAAGGTTGTCGAAACGTCAGTCAACAACATCAAAAACAGTCCTTCTCAGGACTTTATTAACCTGGACGATCATCATTTACAAACATATAATTATGGAACCATTATTTTTAATGTCAATTCTCCATTCCAAACCCAAAAGTTAGAAGTACTTACGATATACATGAATAGCGTAATATACCTTTACTTTTTTACCCGAATTTGCTTCATTTCCAAACTCAAAACACACACACACACACACACACACACACAAGGCCAGACAATATGCCGGTACAATTTCAAAAGAAAATCCCATGGTTTTAATGTCAAAATTGAAATAATCTTTTTATAGTTACAGAATCTTTTCATCAAGAGCGCAATGTTATCGGTACTAAAACACAACTAAATTTATTAAGGGACCAGGCATAAATATTAAACATATAAGACACACCTGTCTAATTTAATATAACAACCAACATACAACCGAGTGCCTAGTATATCGTAAAATCTTCCAAATGTATACAGTAAGCAATGTTATGCTTATAATCACGATAATCACAGCACTAAAACATATAAATATCCACGTCCATATAACTCGTTGCTTTTCATCTGAGACTGGGTACTGATCTATCAAAAATTAAATAATAACCATAAGAATTTGAGAAATTTCATTGGTCGAGAGCTATGATCCATAAGTGGACATACGCAAAGAATTAACGTCACAGAAATTTCTTGTATTTAAATGACAAACGAACGGCGAAATTGCTGGAATATTTACCTAAGTTTATCCTAGAATGGGCAAATGAAGACATTAAAAATACCGAGTTGAAGCAATAGACGTATTCGAGCAAAAAGAAAAGAAAAAACCCCGTTTGTAAACGATGATTTGTAAAACTGCTGAAAAACTGTCGTTAACAAAATTTTAACAAAATTGATTAGCCAATGTTTGTTCATGTGTTAGCTAATCGCATTTAATCACGTGACTAATCCACTCAATACCAGTCAATACCATTTCTTCAATCCTATTAGATCATGTACTCGTGATATTTGCAAAATCAAGACTTTTCAATTTTTCAAGTGTTGGGGAACAAAGAAAACAAACTGTTAGCAGTTTAGTTTGGGAATTTTTTCGATTTTATTAGATAAAACGGCGGCTCGTGAACACTTTTTTAGTTCTGATTACAAATGACGTTATACATGTGTATCTACTACTGTATTGACAACGGTTAAATGTTATCCATTTGTTAATTTAAAACTCTTTTATTGTGCAAATTGGTAACGTTACAACACGATACCAAAGTCATTTTAAGGAATAATAAGATGTAAAATAACAGTCAAATATGTGGGAGCCTACATCTGTCATTTGTTGTACTGCGTGATAATACTGTTTTGATTAGTCTGTTTTTAACATCCCCAACACTTATTTTTGGAAACAATAAACGTGTTTAATGACAGATCAACGCAAAAGGGCGTTTCTACAAAAGTAGAACGTGAATCTCGATATACTACAAGTCGGCATTTTAAAAGCTCAATTCTCTTCAAACTTTTTGTACAGAGAGTATGTGTATACAACTTTTTTCAAGAAAGGTCCAAGCCCATTACCAGCTGATTCGTTGATGTTTTTTATGTTAAATTAAAATTCCATCATGTTGCACAAAAAATAACCAACTGAGCAACACCTTGCATCTTCAACTGACATTTTGCAAAGGTGTTTTATCAAGATAACAACGGACAACTAAAGCAGACATAATTTATGTTAATATAATATACCAACATACCATCATTTAAATGAACAGATTGATTTGGTGCAACCATAACTGTCGACTGAATTTTTTCTACATGTGACGTCGTCGTTGAGATTTTGTTGTAATCAAATGCTGATGGAAAGTCGTATATAAATAAAGCATAAAGACTAGGATACAACTAGCCTTCCAGTTATAAAAACCTAAAGCTATTGTAGGGAGAAAGCAATTGTAGGGTGAGATAAAAATTCATCCTTAAAATGACATATAGTGACAAATTATTGTGCCAGAATATTGATTTGTTATATTTGCTAAGATAGTAATTTATTAGGAAACTTCTCAAGGTTTTGTGAGCCTTTTCTCAGAGCTCAGTAAGTTATTGAAATAAAGAAAATTCGAAATTCTTTATACTTCACTGTTAGCAAAATGTCCTACCCTTTGTAAATGAGGACATCGTTGGTGATGATGATAGCGTGCAGCTCCTTTTAGAGGACGCTAAAATTCCATCAAGATATTGATGTAAGAAGGTAAATATACAACAAAATAATTCACAACAATATTATTTTGTTTCGAAATGATAGAAATAGTTACAACTGCATTGATCACAGTATTTCAGCATTGGATAGAAACAAAGTAGTTACGTGTACATAAATTTATCAGCTGAAGTGAATTTTTTAGTTTTCATTCATACCACCTTTACCAACCCTACATTGACCGGCATCAGTCAAAATTTTAACGTTGTTACCAAGATAATAAAGCTTAGATAATAAAGCATATATTGATGAATGAAACAAATAAACAAAAATGTGCGCAACGCAAATTAGACAACATGCGCGAAGACTACAACTGCTTGTACATTTATTGTAAAATTATATTCTCTAACCACTTTCTGATCGATACATTGTTGAGGCCATTAAAGAAGGTGTTGGCAACATAGATGATCCTAATTTTGGTTCAACAGAGTTTTGGGCTTGCAAAGAACCAGACATACCGCCTATATAATGAAGTAGCTATATTTAATTTCTTAATTTATATGACAACATAGACACACACTTTTATCATAAATATGACTTTACCTTTTGTCCATGAAGTAATCAGGCTGCTGGAAGTATATGTAGCTATAAAAATGAATAAAATAAACCTTTCAAATTTAAATTTAAAGAAAACTTTTTTGTTATGCATGCACAACTATATACGCATGCAGCATTTCCAAAACAAAATCAAAATGCAATGTTTATGAATAAAAATACTAAGAACTAAACTGCGATGGTTTCTGGCGCTAGAAATATAGAAAAATCGACTATTTCACTTATTGTTCAAGTGCAGTTTGCATCCCTTTTTTAAAATATCAATGTATATTTTTACAATTCATGATCATCAATTACAAACGTGCAGATCTCAAAAAACTCCGAAATGTTTTACTTAACATTGATTTTAAAATCGTCGTATAAATCTTTGTTTGACACTGAATGCGTTAAACGGTTAAAGGCAAATATCAACAAACAATCATTCAAACGAAATTATATTACCACAATCGTTGCCGATTTTAACTGTTCATAAAATGAAGCCATTTGGAGAGTCAATCATATTTTTCTCTGAATATACTGTGAATAATATATACAGATTTGATATTGCCTGTCAAAACTTTGTTGGTGGAATAAACAGGCCGATGGAAAAGCAGGCTGTCTACATTCCCAAGAGGCTAATTACTTCTAGAAACGTCATGCAAAGTGCTATAGAAGCGCCATATGACATTAAAGACAAATAAACGTAAATTACCTTTTAATTCATGCTTTTTTTTGTTAGGCACCGCAAAATTATATAAAAAAATTATATTAAATAACATTATCACTGGCAATCATTTGACATGCTTTATCGAGTGCTGGTAGTTTGATCAGAAAAACATGCACACAAATGCCCTAACATAGTCATAGAAAAAAATTTTCAGAAGATTTGGATTATCCGTCACAGCAACGCTATTCCCACTTCACTGCACAACCTGGTGCTGTATATTTAATTAGATTACTGGCCGTGGATAGTCATCTCTGCCCTCCTATTGGTCGGAAAATGCAAGTTACTGGCTGCCACTATATTAATCACATGCGTAATAAGTTATGTGATACATAAAAAATTTCAACAGAGTGGGACTATTACCTCTATTTTTTGAAAAATTGACTCTTCCCAGTACTACCAATTTATTTAATATAAATATATAAGCCATCAATTCTCTTACATACCGTTACAACACGACATCGTATTGACCAATAATGAAGTAACTTCCCCTGACAACGAAATTAATGATTCTAGAAACCATTAACAAATTAGCAAAACTGTAAACAAGTTAATAACTACGAAAAGCAGTTTTAGTACATCACTATACATATACAAACATGAAGTACTGGCGTCTTCACATATGAGACGACAAAAACTTAGTCAACAGAAGTAAATATTACAATTCAATTTATATGCGACTGAAACAGTAGCATAGCGAGCCAGCAAGTTTCGGTCGTTTCAACAATGTAAATTTTTAAACAACATCATTATTCATTTCTTTAGACATCTATTGTTTATGCAATGAGTGAACACAGAAAAACAAGTAATTATTTTCTGCTCCTTGACCTCGGCTTTGGTTATATACTTAATAGATCAAGTGGTACGATTCGTTTTTTAATAGAGCCTGCAAATGGCCATCCATCAACCGTACATTTTTTTTCCATCAGACAAAATTCCAACGTTGTTCCCAACAAGAAAGTCTATTAACGGTTTAAAGAAGTAACAAAAAATGTATGCAATGCAACGTGTACGATGACAAGAACTGCTCGTACATTTTTGTTTGATGGTAAAAAATAACTTTCTTTCCACTTTTTGATACATACATAGATACATATTTAATTTCTTGATACAGCTACAACGTATAGACTCACTTTTGTCATAAATATGACTTTACCTTTTATCCATGAAGTAACCAGGCTGCTGGAAGATGCAGCTATAAAAATATAAAAAATAAAACATTTTTCAGTTTAAATTGAATGAGAAGAATGAAAAAGTTTTGGCATGCATGTGTCAGAGCATTTCTAAAACAGAATCAAAATGCAAATCTTTTAAACTGGGAGAGTTCCTGGCGCATTTAATACAGAAATATCGACTATTTTCATTCACATTTCAAGGGCACTTAGCATCTTTTTTAAATATCAATATTTATTTTTTACTCTCCTATGAGCTCTGGGTGGGCAGAGCCATGGACACCCAAGCATTTAGTTTGCAAAGGGGGTAACCTGGACGGTGTTATTTATAAAAATAAAGATAAAAAAGTAAGTTTATATTTAGCCTAGTTAACGCATTGAATATTTTTCATTGAAAGTCATTACTGAAATCGTGTTTACGGTAGTAAGTGGAAAGTTCTACAAATGTTTTTTTTCAGCATATGAATTGAAAACCAGTTAGTATTGTGTTCTACTAAGGATTATTAAGAAAATGTTTATGTTGCTTAGTTGTCAGAATTAGACGCAGTGGGCACTCAGGGGTGAGGGACACCTAAACCTAAAATGACAGCGGGCAGCCTAGTTGAACTGACGCCACTGGATTTTGGGGCTTTGGCTGTTCATAAAATGAAGTGATTTGGTGAATGGATCATATTTTCAAATAAATATACTGTTAATCATATACACAAATTTGGTATTGTCAAAACTGTTGGTGGGAAAAGTTGCATATCTCTAAATCTTCATTTATACGACTGACACGATGCTAATTACTTCTAACAAAACGTACAGAGAAATTAAGTAATCGAGTGCTAACAGCGCCATGTGAGACCATAGACAAATAAAAGTAATGTGGCTTGTTGCAACTTCGGTTTGATTCGTGCATTTTTTCTTTCTTGTAATTCTGTTGAATTATAAATAATTCATTAATAAAAAGATCTATTTAAATGGAAATCATTTGACATGATTATCGAGTGGTAAATTTTTGATCAGAAAACGGCACAATAATGCTCTAACACAGTCATAAAAAAAGATTTGCAGATGATATGAATGGTCCGTGACAGTGCAGACATCATTTTGTACCTCCACTGTGCGGAAGGCGCGAAGTAACAAACACTGACCTGTAACTAAAATTGTGATTCGTGAATAATAAGTAGGAAGATCAACTCTCATTTTGTGATTGTCCATGATAAATAGTTCAGCCAAGACTTGCCATCGGTTGTATTTAATGGAGATGTTATTTATAGTTATGCTTGAGAAGGTGGAATTCATATATGAATCGTCAACTTTGTTAGTTATTCTTATCAACAAACCATGAAAAATCATAGAGCAAATTATAGTTTTATTAGCCGACCATGTTACGGAATAATCCTCAGGCCAGCTTATATTTCCTTTACAATCATACGAAAAACTAAGAGTCAAGTTTGACCCCAAAGGAGCATAAACAAAGTAATTTTGAGGTGTCGTAGTTATGCGACATGAATCTAAAAAGAGATAAAAATAATTAATGAACATTTAGAAAATTGTCGGAGAAAAGTTGTCGGAACTGCTGAAGAATAAGGGAATAAGTAACAAACATAAGTATAAACGATGGAATGCCAGTAGTTGTGTCTTACCCGATCTTACTAAACTGCCATTCGCGTACACAAACTTCACAAAAAACACACCAAAGAAATATTTCGAAACTGGATGTGTAAACATAGATAAATCTTTTATTCCGTTGCTCAAAAACTTAATTGTCTTCAAGCTAAGAAAAAGAATTGAAAGTGTTAAAGTTAGTTCCATCAAAAAACATGTGTATGTCGTACAGCATAATGGCAAGAGTCACAGACAAAAAGACAAGTTTGATGAGCGAAAGAAGGATTTCAGATGAGGTTAGTTTTAAGGTACGTTTACGTTTACACAAAACGACTTGTCGGGCCGATACTGACGCAATATCACGTGATTCTTGCTATATACGTATGCATGAAAAAAAAAAAAAAATGTTAATTCAGAATTGCGACTACCAGCCTACTTGTGCTGTTCGACTATGCCTTTGATTTCTGTAGTTTAAATTGTCAGTGAATACTATGGGAAGGATCTAATTAAATCCAAACATATATTGCAACAAGTGCTAACTCTAACAAATAAAGAAGATAACTCTTTCTTTAGTTGGTTCATAGTGGTTTAACTGGTTTTGAATGAAGGGGGGTACATTTAAACATAAATGTTTATATACTGTACACATGGATAAAGACAATTGCGTAAACATTTATCCCTCTCAATTCTTTATCTAGCCAAATAAAGTGGTGTGTTGAAGTCAGTTCGGTTGATTGTGTAAGGTTGCATGGCCAAACGTTACGTCATTGAATGCAAGTCTTTTCTCCTAATGTCTGTTATCTCCAAAGCGTACTCGATCAGTTGTCTATGCTTCAAGGGGCGGTGGCACGAAGCCAGGATAGCGTCATCTACTGGATAGCAAGTTTTTTACACTTTTATAAAAAATTTAAAAAAAGTATAAGATTCGAACTGAACGAT